TTATTATTATTGCCTCCCTGAATAAAATGCTTGTACATGAAATATGTCTCAACAACTGCAACGACAACAGCATTTTGTCTTTTTCTCATATATAGGTGTTTTTATTTCCCCATCGACACAATTTAGATCATTTAGGAGAAGGTCTCTGGCCCTGCTTGTCATTACCAGCCCTGGCTGAGAGCGATCCATTCCAGAAGAAAGACTGAGATACATGTACTCGATAAAAATTTTATCCCCACTCGGGAACCGAACTTCGGTGCCCTGGGCGTAAACATAGAAGCGCTTTACTGCTACACCACAGTCGACGGTTGATATCAAAATTAAACGTAGCACAAGGAACAATGATAATATCAACAAAAACGACAATGACAACAACTCTTTAGTTTTAGTTGAGTTTTACGGCACTTGCAGCACAATAAGGTCATATACGTGCCGAAGATTACAGGTGTTACAAGAGAGTAACGAACACAAAAAAGAAGGAGGGGAGATAAAGATGATATATGTTTGGTAGGAAAGAAAAAAACAAACCACACCAGAGCACCCACCAACCACCCATATAACAATAACAACAACAACAACAACGACAACAACAGAAACAACATACAAGTACATTTCTCACTTTAGTTAGACAATGGAAATCGAAATCATACCTTCTATTTGCAATGACTGAGAAACTAACCATTACACCCCATGCCATATTAAAATCGCAACATATATAGTGTTACGTACATGTAAAATAAATAACAGTACAAGACAAAGGCATGGTTTTAAGGAAAATGTTTATTACAACACAGATATAATACAAAAATTAGAATGTTAACGTTGACATTTCATATAATTTGCTAAAGAAGATCAATCGCTTGCAAATATCAAAAATATATTATAAGAAAAATCTGCAAGGCTATTTCTATAGAAGTACATGTATACCGCTTCTTATTTAATTTTGTATTCTTCATTTCTACAAAGACGTTTCCAGGTGTGGGGCAGATGCATGCAAACAATAAGTTTCTTGTTCTCCTTCCGTTTTGCTTGATTTACAAAAGGAAAGAACCTCTATCCCCCCCC